AGTAACTTAGCAAAATCTAAAAATTTTATTACTAGCTCTATTTAATTAACTATTAAACAGGGTATATATATAAGTGGTCTATTATTGTCTTGTGAATTTTAACTCATTCCTTTTGTTAAGTTACTATAATTATTTTGTGTACGTGTGCATAGTTCCTTAAGTTTGTCTTCTGATTCTTTCTTTTTCCTTCATCAATTAATATCATATATACTAGTTACAAGAAGTGCCGTATGTCGAAAATACATGCCTACTAATAATATATACATCAGTTTTCACAATTTCTTTTCCTTTCTTTGAGGTCTTAATCTGATTCATTATCATTATCATCTGATCTCCTAATTTACATAGTTTAATTGCCTACCTAATTATCTTTGAAGATAGTTATGATTACGAGATTGCTAAAGTACTGTTAGATGAACAAGACATCTGCTACAGCATGTACAAATAAATTCGTAACTGTGACGACCCCACCCCCCTAGGGCGTACCCCAGGGTTTAGGGGACCGCCTGCTTAACTCTAGGCAGGACTCACTCACTCATTTCAAATAAAATAGTTTCTAACCTCAAGCGTAAATGGAATAACGGTTCCCAAATTTGGAACGTACATGTACATTCCTTTCTATTCCAAACATTCATACAATTCCAAATATAACAAAAGATATGAATTCCAGATACATTCAACCCTAACCGAGCACTAGCGCGAGTACAATCGCAAAATAAAAAATTAGACTATGCTAGCATGTACCAGTGTCACGCCCTCGCTTGTATCCCCTGTAAGGAAAACATATTTAACAGAATTAAGTGAGCTAAAGCTTAGTGAGACTCCAAATAGCAAGTTGACCCTTATTTAAAAGTGCAAGTATCAAAGTAGCAAAGTAGCGAGCACAACAAATCAAGAATTGGACCCAAGTAATAAGTTGGCCATATGTCACTACAAGAAATATATTTTTCAGTGACAAAAATTTATGTGACAACAAAAATCTTGTCACAGATAACCTAATTCAGTGACGACATTAGGTGTCATCACAGATGAGTACAGCACAAGCATAATCAGTGACAACATTGGAAGTTGTCATTCTCAACTCGTCACGAAATAGTTGGCGCGCATCTCATTTGATGCCGCGGGAAATGATTTTATGACAACTCAAGTAAAGTCGTCACAAACGCTCTCTCTACAGTGACAACATAACTTGTTGTCATTGAAAGTCTACCCGGTTCCAATTTTGTGACAACTTTTTGCATCACTGTATACTACAGTATTTTCATCAACTTTCACTAATTCTACTATGACACCCTAATTTTATTTTTTAGCCCCCAATTCTTTTATATTAGCAAAAGCACTGAAGATATGACACCCTAATTTTATAATTTAGCCCCTACTCATTACGTATTAGCAAAATGCGAATGATATAATAACAAACTAGTTTTAGATATTTGTAATTTTTGCTAAGTTGACATTGAGCATAAAAATTTTTTCATGAATTGTTTATTATTACTTATAACAACCCCCAAAAATCAATAACTGAAATAATTTGAAAAAGTGTAATTGAATATAATTTGTAGTCTAATGTTAGCACTGTGAAAGATTAGTATAACGTGTAATACATCATAAGTAATAATTATTTTCATATGGAATGGGTATATACGAAATTAAAATTATTCAGTAAAATATCTGTCGTGCAATAAGATTGAGAGTTGTAACACATTTAACAGAATATTTGATTACACGTTTCTTTTAATTTATTATAAAAACTAAGTAATAGACAAAGAGTATGACAAGCATGAGTAAGAAGTGCTATACTGTATATAAGCAATTCTATGCATGTTAACTTTTTGAAACATATTTTATTGTGTAAGTTTTATTGTAAGGTAATTTCATAAATAATTTGTATATTGAGTTGTCCAAACCCAAAAAGATGTATATAGACACAAACAAGCACACATATATATACATGCACAAAAAAGAAACCAATATCAAATAATTTATTTGATATTTATAGATGAGATTAAGGAAAAAAAAAGAGATTAAGTATGAAAAAAGAAACCTGAAAAAAAAAATTTTACCAGGGAAAAAAAAAAAGAAAAAAGATGTATGAAGCTAAAGGCGTGAATCCTGGAATCTCAAAGACGTGTTTAGATGCCAAAAAAAAAGAGTGCCAGTCTGAAATCTGAAAGAGGCGCGAGGGCGTGTGGCTGAAATCTCTACAAAACGACGTCGTTTTTGGTTGTTCACAGACAAACAAAAGTCTCGCCGCTTCTCTCTTTCAACACTTAGACAAATTTCATTCTCAGTCTTTCCTTCCTATAGTGAACACCGAAAAACTCTGGACCTCAAACACCTTCTGCTTCCGCAAAATGCTCCTCTAAAGCACCATTGACAAGTGCCAATCTTCAGGTCAAGCTCGCCGAAGAAGCGAAGTCAGAACACTTCCAAGCTCCCTCCTCGTTCCGCGACTTCAGTTTAGACTTTTCTCCGACCCCCTCTTCAGCTAATTGTGCGGTATGTGTTTTTTTTTTTTTTTTTTTTTGCTTTCAAAAGCTGGTCAGCCTTCTATTGTAAAGACTAATTTATGAACTAGATTGTTAATTAGCAGTGGGGAAGGTAATACTCTTGGCCAAATCGCATCCGAAACACTTGCGATCTGGAGTATGAACAGTGTTAGGGATGGTCAGAACCGGCTTTCTTTGAGGAGCTATGAAATGCGAACATTTTTTGACTGCATTAATTTGGTTGGATGAAAGAGAAATTAAACAATTTGTCGTGCCATTTAATTGCTTCCTTAAGGGGAAGAGAACTTGACTGATTTGCCTAATTTATTTGGCTGTTTTAAATGTAATTTACTCTCTGGTTCTCTCTCTCTCTCTCTGGTAATCAAGCATGCACTTTACTAGAATTTTGCACGTTTGGGAACTGGCCAGAAAACTGTTTTGGGGTTTCAATTGCCGTTAACATGTTGTTGTGCAATGTGTGTTTAGTCATACAATGGTTAATCTTTTGTAATAGTTAAGATTTTCATATATGTATTCCCCCTTTGTTCTTCATTTCCTTGCCATTTTCGAACCTACATTTTAATTTTCCCCTGTTTTTGTTAGCTCATTATCCAATGGCTTTTGTCCTGCCCCCGAAAGGCTTCATTTCCTTGCCATTTTCCGAGGCAATTTGGGCTTCTGAAATGTTGCATTTTCAGTTTGTATCTTGAGAAATTTCTGTGTACGGATGAGGAAATCATGGATTTAGGCCACCCGGAGGGGGTTGTAATTGATTTAGGCCAACATTTTTTAGTTGTTCTTTTTCTCCTGTTATTCGTTTGTGATTAGTGAATCTTCCAAAAGGGGAGGGGTTTGACTTGGTCTCAAATGGCTGATGATAACTTGCAGCTACTAATTTTTATCATTGATGTTCCAATACACTGCCTTATTAAATGCTGCATTCACTCTTGGCATGGAATCAGTTTGAAAGCTAGTTTTCAGGGTACCTTGTGGAGTTAATTTGAATGACCTTGACTAAACATGCTGTTTTGTTCTTTAATTGCTTTTCAGTGCCTCATGCTGGGTTTGGCTTAGGTTTTGAAAGGTTAGTGCAATTTGCAACTGGTACTGATAATATAAGAGATGCAATACCTTTCCCACGAACGCCTGGATCTGCTGAATTTTAGTGTCGCCGACTTCAGAGATGCAGTAATTTTGATTCAGCCTTGGTAGTCGGTACCCATCAAGGCTTATCCTCCTGAGTTTGGCATTGTATTTTGATTAGAAGATTCAAGTTCAGATTCGAACGGTAAAAAATTTTGTTTCGAGTAGTTAGCAATTTGTTACACAGGGTTCATAACATAGTATATGCGATACCTGTCATTCATAATTAGCTTTTTCCATTTGGAGGGGAGAGATATTGATAGATCAATCATTTGTTTAAATTTGATCATCACCTGTGTCTTTTATTACATGGATAAGTCAGATGCTGTAGTTGAATTTATTCCAGTGCCTTATATTGGTGTTTCTTTGTTAGATTTGGTGTCTGCTTCACTCTGGTTACAATTCCTATTAGTGTTTTGACGTATTGTTTGGGAACCCAAAATGTTGCTAGAGCTATTAATAACTGGTACTCTGCTGTCTAAAATAACTGAGTTGATTGAATTGAATGAAGCACGTGCTGTCTTTTCCTTGCAGCTTTTAGGTCTGTTGAGTAATCTCTGATCATTCTGCATTGAAGAAGCTGACTCTTATTCATGAGGATTTTGGAGTCAATTGATTGATTAATCTTGAAAGGAGTCTTCTTTCAATTTCTTACCTTTTTCAAACTCTGATAACTCATAAATGTTCTTATTTGTACCTGTAATATTTAAATAGAATACTTCTTATCCAGTTCTATATTAATCCTTGTTATAATCCTAGAGACCTAGTTCAACCCATAAACCTGATATTAACGTGTTTAAAAATGCATGACTTTTCCAATTATTCCTGGAGTTCCAGGCACAATTCAAGATGATTTTACCCGTCCTCAATCCAAGCCTCCTATCTTTCATTTTTGTTATCAAGATGTTAGAATGCCAGCGAACAGAAATTTTGCTTTTTCTTTAGACCTTTTGGGTTTATATGGCTGTAAAGAATGGTTTATTCTTTCCCCCATAGGACCAAAAAAATAAAAAGAAATGGTTATTAAAACTTTTGGAGCCACTGGAGAAAGCCATTGTTTCGTAAAAATTGCAAAGACTAAAGGTAAATCCAAAATTTTTTACAATGTATGATAAAAGTTCTCTAGTTTATATATATAATACATTCAGCGGTGGTTATCTTTCATTTCACAGAAGGGGGTTGTGTTGTTAGGAAGGCTGCTAGGCTTAATGTTCCAAAGTGGTCCCATCTCAATCCCGGTGACCGAGAAGGCATATACAGCACGGTTACGGTATTTGTTGTCCTGCTAATACTCTAATTTCATCCAGAAAGTATGAGAGATTTTACTGCTTTAGATTTGCTTGGTTTTAAGTAGATTGCACTGTTATTGTAGGATGACTTTCGATTTCCAGAGCACATCACCTCAAAAACTGCTATTAATAAGCAGTTAAACATACAATATCGAAACCATCGATATCGGCTTCACAAGTATTTCCAGAGTTTTGAATCAAGGCAAGAAGCATTGAGGCAAGTTCCTGAAGGTGTGAGTGAAGAAGATTGGAAGTGGCTGGTCAGCTACTTTGAAAATGATGAATTTAAGGTTAGCTTGTCAAAATAACCTATCCTTTTATTCAATTTCAGATTTCACTTCACAAATTTGCTAATCTTTGTCAGTTAAAATTTTCACTAATTTGTGGCAGAAAATTAGTGAACGTAACAAGCAAAATCGTGCCAAAAATGACTGCTACACTACTGTTGGCACAAAATCGCTTGCAAGAGTTGTTGAGAAAAAGGTAATCTGAAACCCAGCCAACAGTTGTACATGTACATCCTTTTTGTCATATGACTGAAAATGAAAAAATTGAAAATTTGGACAGAAAAGGAAAGAAGATGTCGAGCTTTCAGAGATAGACATGTTTGAGTTAAGTCGAAAGTCAAAGAAGTCAGGGGGGCTGGTAAATGACAAAGCAAAAGAGACCTTGGTGAGCTGTTTCACTTGGATAATGGATTTTTAAATTATTGACATCCATTCCAGCTACATAATGATCATATTTTTTACTTGCCTAGGACAAAATGAGGGAATTGCAGGCTACAACTTCAATGACTAGCAAGGAAATATGCGAGCAAGAACTTGGTTACGTACCTGGACACATCCGCGGTCGTAGTGCAACCAAGAAGCAAGCTGCTGAGGTAGAACGCTGGAGGCATGAGATTGAGGACAGCCGAAAAAGAGCAGATGAAGCAGAAAAACGAGCTGCAGAAGTAACTCAACAATTCACTGCTCAGCAAGAGTTGATTAAGACCTTGCAACAGCAACAAACAGAAACAAGAAGCCTGTATGATGAGTTAACTAACCAGCTGAAAGACTTGCGCAAATAAGCAACTTCTGTGTCAGGTATAAATAAATTGTTTGCTCTTCATTTTTAATACAATTGGGTTGTTTGATGTCAATTTAGTTGCTTGATGGCACTTGAAATCTGGTTCCACCAAATCTGATTCCTGTTTAATGCAATTGAGTTGCTTGAGGCTGATTTAGGTGCTTGAAATCTTGTTCATGTTTAATTACAGCCATTGAGGTGCTGGATGTTGCAACCAAAACTTTAGTGTTTTTAAAGCAAATGTGTTTGAACGTTGGGATCTATTCCACTTTTTTCTTTGTCGAACTCATCTAAATTTTTCTGTATCAGAATTTTTTTTTTGTGCTAAGGAAAAAGAGGCACCTGTGATTGTGTGTGTGTGTGTGTTTTTTTTTTCTTGATATACTGTGTGGTTTACGATCATCTAGGCTCTCAATGATTTTCAAGCGGATAGACCAGCTATGATTGTAAACCTGTAAAGCAAGCAGGCTACTAGTCCTGTTGGAGTGTCTAACCTGGATAGTGAACATGTTCTTGTTAATAGAGATTAAGGAGTTTTGATGTGCACATAATATCCAATGTAAACTAGAAAGTTCTCTTAGAACTCTTGAATGTGGTTCAGTTGTACTCCACCACATTGGAGCTTTCTTGAAACAAAAAATATGGCGGATTGGGCTAAATGAATATATGCATTTGCTTAGTTGATCCTTTCTTTTGGTGGCGTTTTTGGTGTTTTGTGTGTTTTGGTGGGGGGCAATGTAGATTTACATAGTAAAGCAAAGCCTATACTAGATACAAGTAGATCAGCAAAAACACTTCTGGGACAGGTCCCATTCCAGAGCTAATTTCCAAGGTTACTGTGTTAGTGGAATCTTCCACCAAGCTACTACCACATGTTGTATCTCATCCACAATTAATGGACCTCATAATACTGACAGCTGAAGTCGCCTGAGCTCTGAAGAAAATCTTTCAATAAATAATAAACTTTGCACCCCTAAATCAATTGTCATTCCATTTTTTAAGTGATCCACCCTAAAAAAAAGTTGGTTTTTTAGCTTCCTGTTTCATCTGTGATCAAGAATAGTTAAAAGTTTGAGGTTCGGACATGCTCTTCATGAAAATGCAGAATAATAATCACAACAATGTTGTTTGATTTATACTTTGGGTAACTTTCGAGACTTTATAGTTGTACAAAGTTTAATAGTGCCTTTATCAAGCTACGCTTTTATTCTTGGTCCACAAGAAAGATTCAATAGAGAAATAGATTAGTTGTATACTTTCGTAGTACGCAATTAACTGTCAATGGTTTGTTCTTGCTTACTATTCAATATATATAATTTCACTTTATTTTTGTGTTAAGCAATTTACTTAGATTGCTATAATTTCAAATTAGAGTGACATTAGTTTTTATAATATGGTGCCTATCTAGAAGTGTAGTTCCAGTTTTAACACCAGTGCTCATTGCTTCAATTTTGGTAACGTGTAGGTTCTAACACGATTCCCAAGAAGAAGAAGCCAGTCATTGCTGTGAAGATGGTTTTTGAATTGAAGACTACAAGGCCTATCGTGCTCATGTTTTGTTCTAGATGGGAATCGTGCTCATATTTTTGTATAGAACTTTACTACTCTCTATTGTGGATGGGAAATCACTAGTACTGTAACTGAATGGCTTATTTTGGATGGTGCATGGTTTATGACTCATTTGAGGCAACATTTATATATATATGTATTTGGGTTGATCTTCTATTGGAAATGAATGTTGGTTTTCTTTTCGTATGTTGGTTTTTTTTTTCTCCTTGCTACTCAATGAACGTTTTGTGATTGTTGGCAGCTATATTGCGTAATTAACATTAGCTTATTGCTTTTTACAAAAAAATAAATGACAATAAAAAAGTTGTCACTGCCAACAAGTTTTACTAGTGACACTAGAAAGTTGTCACTTTTTATGGATGGAAAACAATGACAACAAAAGTCGTCACTGAACGGAAGCATAATGTGACAACTCCAAGGGTTGACTATGACAAGAATTTAGCCAGCTTAGTGACAATAAAAGTCGTCACACAATGTACAACAATGAGTGACGACAAGAGTCATCACAAAAGCGAAATCGTTTGTGACGACTTTCAACAGTCGTCACATGGACCCCCTTTTGTGACATAGAACTAGTGACAGCTCTGTGACAGCAGTAAAAGTCGTCACTGACTTTTTTTGTGACGACTTCTGAATTTTTAGTGACGACTTTCGCCTGTCACAGAAACGCAATTTTCTTGTAGTGTGTAAAACTTGAACTCTTAAAATGAGCGAATGTAAAAGTTCATAAAAAGAAACAATAACACGACAAGTAATAACCATTTCAAAGTATAAGGATACGGATGGCTCTCAAGAGCCAAATTCCCGTTGCTTCACCGGAGTTTGATCAAGTAGTAGTTGACACTTCATCAACTTTCAAATAAAGTAACCAGTCCAGTAGAGCACCACTTAATTACAATCTCCGTCCACCATTCAAACCCCCTACCAGGCCCAAAATCCTCAATAAACATGGGTGGTAATACTCGAGCATACCTAATAGTCGAGGAGATAACACTCCACTCGCCAAAACAAGAGACCCAGGGTTTGTTACTTAATCGACCAAGCCCTTGTCGGCTCGACTCGAGTAACCAGCCACACTGTTTCTGGAATTTCAGAGAGTGCGCACATCGTAAACAAGTATATCAAGTCAATGGCACTAAATAAACAAGTATATATCACATTACGGCAAGTGCGATAAAGTACACCTTTATCCGACCAGACCAATCAAATATCAAGTATTTAAATCAAATATTATGTTTAATCATGTACTTAGAAGCACTCACCAAAGACTTAGTGCTTGTCAAAAATCACGCTCAGGTACAACTCCTTGGTTGGAGTCCAAATCTGCGATAAAATATCATTTAAGAGTTTAAAATCCACTAGGGTTCGAAACATAAGAGTTTTGTTTCAAGGAAATCAAGTAAATGAAACTTGTTTAACTAGTAGTCATATGACTTATCAAATTCTAGAAAATTCATGCTCGCTCTTTTAGTTTCGATAAAGAAGTGATTTATATTTTGGACGTCACATTGGGTATGAAAATCGAGAAAATTGTATTTTTAAGGGTCGCTACTTTTACTTTTTTAAAGGGTACGAGTTTCGGCAAAAATTTCAGCTTATGTACCTCTTACTAAGGAAAACTTGAATACCATAAACAAGCAAGTTTGTTTCAACCTTGAGTCGTTACTCAAGTCTCGAGTTCACTCGCCTAACCCTCGAGCGAAAATTTGGGCAGCATGCCCTTTGAATTTATCCATTTTCCCATCCAAGTACAATTTGGATTCACAAGCCAACAAACTCTAATCCAACCACAAGTGATAACCAATAACATACATCTATTCAAGGTCTCAAAACCAACTAAACAAACCAAATAATAAACGTACCACCATGGACCAAAGCTAGAAACCAGTTTAAAAAAGAACTTAGAAATAGTAGATTTGTCATCCTTCGGTGTTTTGGTCATAACTGTAGCTAGGTATATCGGATTGAGGTAAATTTTATGGCGTTTCGAAGGTAAGGCATAGACCTACATTTCCTATGAAGACATCGACACCCAGTTCTCTCATTTTCAGGGTAAAAAATGGCCAGTCAGAAGCATATGAAAAACAGGTCAGGAAAAATTAGAGTTTTTGCGCAGTCAGGAGTGCTCTGGCCAAATCATAAGCTAAAATGATCCAATTGACTGAAATTTTTAGGTAGAAAGTTAAATCAAATCCCTATAATTTTCATGTTTTGTTCAAAAGCTGATTCATTCTAAAACATGGAGAAATTCGCAGCTCAAGTTGATTCCAAAAACAGGGTAGAACTGAAATTCACCACCAAATGCTAGAATTTGCATATCAACCCTAAAACTACTCATCAAAGCTGGAAATTGCTTGACAAAGCTGAAATTTCATCTTTTAAGGCTAAATATCACAATCAAGCCACTAATCATCTTACAAATTCCATTTCCAAGCTCAATACCAATATATTAGAGATAAATATCAAAAATCAAAGCTGAAAAATCACAAACCCTAGCTGAAATTTGTTAATCTTCACCAAAACTAGAGTATCATCCAAATTCAAGATTCAAGGCATCTATCCCATATTTAGCTAAAACACGAAAGACAAAGGAAGTTTTAGACTTATACCTTCCTAAACACTTGAAGAAAGTGAAGAACCAAGCTATTTCTCTCCAAACAACTCCACAACAAGCTTCCTTAGCTCCTTGGTGCTAGTTTAATCGGTTTACTTTTGTGGTTTCAACTCAAACAAGGCAAGATTCAAGGTTGGAGTTGGAGGTTTTCTCTCTTGTTTTTCTCTCCCAATTTTTGGCCACCATGAAGAAATAATGAAAGAAATGTAGCCAAAAGGAAAGATA